TATATATATATCTCGCTAAAATGAAAAGCCAGGCTGAAACTGCTATCAGTAGTTCTTGTGATACTGCAAATATCAAAGTTTGGAATGCTTAGTGTTAACTGATTTTTGCATCATGGGTTATAGTATTAAATAAGCTGTTATTCAAAATGTACAATTGTGCTATAAAATGCTGTACTTACTGATTAGAGCCACTTCTAAAGTTAAAGTTTTCTACACATTTGAGTGTTAAGTCATCTCAGCTACGGAGGGAATTTTAATGAGACGTGTCGCATAGTTCCCAGTCTGATAGAATGTCAAACGTGTGAGGCAGAAGGAAATGGTTTAGTAGAGTGTCTGGTGAGTTGATCCAGGCTGAAAGTGTGTGAAAATCTTCATGGCTGTTAATCTGAGGCTTAAAAGCCTGTTGGCAGGAAATGTTTTTTGCTTCTGACTTTCTGTATAAAAGCTTAGTGATCATTGACAAAGAAGATGGAGACAAATTTCCTCCCTTATACTGTATTCCTCTCTGTCTGATTTATACAACTTTGTACATAGAGATTTCATTTGTAAGCTTTTTGTGTTCACACTGTGTCTTATTACAGTTAATAAATTGTAAATTAACCAAATCTGCATTTTGTTTCAGACCCTCAATCCTAAATGGAATGAAGAATTCTACTTCAGAGTAAGTTCAGATTTAAACATTTTCTCCTTTCTTCACTACCACAGTTTGCTGTTGAACTTGTTTGCTTTAGAGTGTTTTAAAGGATAAAATAATTATTCTTTGGTTGTAATTTACTCTTTAATATACAGACAGTATTAGACACGAATTATGTGATCGCAGTTGACAATGACTTTAAATCACAAGCAACTCCAAAATGTTTTGTGCACGTACAACACTGTACTAAGGCCAGAGGACACCTATCATTTCTTTATATTTCATTCTAAGAAAGTAGGCTTACTGGTATTTTCTAATCTTTTAACATGGTCTTGAGCAGAATTTCTTCAAGCTTTCTGAAAGTCTGTTTTTGGACACTGGTCGTGTTTTTCCTAATTTTCTTTCCAGTTCCTGACAATTTTCAGAGAAATATTTGTGTTTTTTTTTTTAAACCCATTTAACTTTAACTTCGGAATCATTCAGGCATAAAACAGCCCAGACTCGAGGGAAAGAAAATGATCTGGCACTTTATGATTAACAGCCTGCCATAGAGAGACAAAATGTTTGTTTTCGTTTAGTTGAATCTGTTAAAGTCGACCCGAAATAACACAGTTTTACGAACACAACACACTTCTGTGTCAGCTAAAAGACAAGGCATCATTCAGCTCCTGTGTCAGGTTTCAGCTGTTTTTCGTTTGTTTGTTTCTTAAAGACATCACATTCTGATACAGTTTATTAGCTGAAGGTCATGTTGAAAGCCTGACACTTTTTTATTGGCCTTCACTTGTCTACTGTCCTAAAACCTTTAATCACACAATACCATCATCGATAATAATATCTCACTCATTAAAAGTAAAAGCATAAAGAAAATATGAGTAGTTTAAAACCTTTGCACAGTACTATATTTACCACATATCAGACAGGTGTGGGCCAGATCCTGTGTCAAGCTGGCACTGTTGGGTAACTGCTTGCATGGCAAGTGATTTGCCAACCCGATGTGGGCCAGATCTGGCAATGATGGCAATGCTTTTAAGACGGCATGCCACAACTGACCCAGTTGTGGTTCAGTTTATGTGGTGCTGTCCCAACATGGACCACCTCTGGTAAACTATATCAGGGCCACCAGAGGGGTGTCACTGTTTGCCAGGATTCCTACAGATCCAAAAGGCATTGAATTCATCAATCCAAAAAATAAGGCCTTAATTAGCCTTAAAATGTCTTAAATCAATCTGTCAGAAGTATTAAAAATGTTACACATTGTAAGTAGGATGATAGTAATTGGTCTCAAATATTAAAATAATTGGTAACATTTTTTTAAACGTTCACATGCAGACATTCCTCTTTGACATCACTTCCTGTTGATTCACATGCAAATATCTCAACAACCGTCCGTCTGAACATCGTGAAATTCATTTCATAATATGTCAATAATGTTGTATTTCCAAAAATCTATTCACATTTCTTACAAAAAAGTTGATGTCACAGGCACTTTAAGGTTTTATCTACAGCAAATTAGGGTTGAGAACCAACTGTGGGTCCTAAAACTCCAAATTTGGGTCGTTAGAGGATTTCCAGGAATTAAATTAAGTTTAAAACTGACTGTTAAGAATATTTTTACTATATTTGATAAAAAAAGGGCAGTTCGATATGGTTGAAAACAATTGGTTTATTGGGAATATTTTAATAATCAATCAAAAATATGTTGATTCATGAGTTTCTGCCAGTTTTTATGTTTTTGTCCTTTGTGTTTATTGTGAAATTAGTCTTAAATTTAATTTCATTTGGCATTAAAAAGTCTTAAATTTAACTTGCCTTATACTGTAGGAACCCACTTTGCGGTATCTGGTCTGAGTGTTAGTACATAGTGCGAGGCCAGAACTGGACCAGACTAATGTTGCTGTGTGGAATCAGATTTGAATTCGTATTGCAAATGAATGACTGCAGTAAAATCTCACCTGTTCTTTTGTTGCCAACACAGGTGTGTCCACAGAACCACAGGCTGCTCTTTGAGGTGTTTGATGAAAACAGATTGGTAAGATCTTCTTAACTCTCCTCTAATTTAACTTCCACAATTTTGTACATTTTTGTTGTATTTATTTAGCATTTTTTGCAATCCTTACAACTATTTTAATTTATTTCATTTAGTATGTTTCTCCTTGAATTCATTTACAAAATATTCAGATTAATTGTGCCACCAACAAGTAAAGCTGTGTTCCTGTGGAGCTGCTGCATTTCTTTGGAATCGTTCTGTTTTATATTTTTCCACAGAAATCATTAACTGGAAAAAGATTAATGCAATCTTTTCTTTGTGTTTATGTATTTTTTTTCTTGAACTCTTTGACAAAGATCAGACCAGCCTTCAGCTTTAAGATCAGTTAGATTTGTTGCACCTAACAGCTTGTTTGTCTGCTGGTTTCATTGCTGAGCTGTAAAAGTGTACTCCACTAAAGGCTTGTGCTTACGTCAGATTTCCCTCCCCTCCAAACACGAATTTCCTCGACTTGTAAAAATATTCTCGCTGTAGGGACTCGGTTGCCTGGACAACAAAAATAAATGTCAAGTGTGGCGGCAATTAACGTCACATGTAGGTCTTGACAATAAATCTGTTAGTTCACACCAGTGTGTAAACTTCACCTCGATGAAACGTCTACAGAACAGACAGACAGGTGGTTGTTGTTTTGGGGAATATCTGAAAGGTTAAATTTGTGGTGTGTCATTTCTTTGTCTTCTGTCTCACAGTAGAGCTTGAGCTTTTTGTTTTGATGAATCTAACATTCCCATGCAGCTCATCTTTTTTTTTTATTTTTTTATTTATGAGTTCCAGACTACATGAGAGACACAGTCTTGGCCTCACAGAGTCCAGTCTATTTTATTTCAGAGTTTCTTCTTTTTCTGTAGTTTTGTCCTAATAGTTTAAGAAAATAAAATTAGGATTGTTTTGTGCTTAGGTCTTAGTAATTGAATTTTAATGCTTGATATCGATGGATTTTTTTTTTCTCACCCAACACCACCACAGATAGATGTTGTTAGTTTTCCCCTCAGTACAATAGGAGCTCTGTGCTGCTGTACAGAAGAGGATGACACAAGAAAGAAGAGCACAGACAGTTCACTCCTTATATGTCTGAGGCGGCACTTTTTGTCCATCTCTGTGTGCCTGCCAAAGCAGCTCCTCCACCACTGTCTCATTTTTTAATAGAGCTGCTTTGTGTCCATTGAATTATGTGTCTTGTGTTGATAAGATGAAATGTTTTACAGAGCTTGTGCTATGATTTGTGTTGCGTGATCTTCCATACACGTTAAGCTGTTTTTAACACTCTAAATGTCATCTACAGTTTGCGTTTTCACATATAATACATATGAGACAAATCGTTACATTTTAGCGCAGTGCCTCGTTGGAGGCAGGCATGTTATGCAGAATGGGCTTGCTGCCATTGGAGCACACTTTGGTGCTGTTTCCTTTATGAAGAACATTCTCTGTAACATTTCTCTCTCTCTCTCTCTCTCTCTCTCTCTCTCTCTCTCTCTCTCTCTCTCTCTCTCTCTC